CCTCTCTCTTTCTATCTCTCTCACTCTTTCTCTCTCTCTCTCTCTCTCTCACTCTCTCTCCCCACCCGTTCCAGTGAACATAATCCCAATCAGCCCTCTATATCTGCCCCCCAGATGGTTTTTCCAGCACGGAATAGATCTAACCATTCTTGTGTCAATACTCTCTCACTTTACTCAAGCTAATCCAACTTTTCAGTTTTCGTTAAATAAGAAAAAAAAAGAGGTGTAACCAACCCTAATGCTGGCAACGGGGGAAGAAAAAAGACGGGCCCAGAAAAAGATAACGAGACTATCTACTTCTGGAATTCTCAGCAAAAATTCCTAGGTGAGGGGTTGGTTTTAGTTTTGCCTCACGCCGACATTCAAGCGTGTTGTTAGTTCAAACATCAGATGATGGACAATCCTCATCCCTCGCTCGTTTCTCGTTCTCGGTTCATCCCTTCCTCACTCGCCGAGCCCGCGCTCGAGGGCAACTCAACGAGACAGCAACACCGTGAAATCAAACATCTTTTCCGTCTCGCTCCTGTTGAATGCAAAGCAGAAGTTGAAATGCAACCGCGCTTCTATTTTTTCCCCTCGTCGATGAGCTTTATTAATAAACGGGGTCCTCGCGGGTTGAGGATTTTCTTTTTCTTCCCGCTTCCCGTCACAGGTTACAACTACCCTGGAGGTTTTCAAGCTTCCGTTTCCCACACCATTCGTTCCGAGCAGAAATCGGCTGTCAGTCATCTGAAACCGAGGCGGGGCTAGAGGACTCCGGGCGGGAGGAAAAACGAGTGTGTTGATTTCACAGCGGCCGTGTATTGGTTTCACAGAGGCCGACGGGGGGCGGAGTCAGACAAGATGAACCGGTGTTTGATCGGAGGAGAAGCGACGGCGAATTCCTTGTAGGAGATTGTTCTGTGGGAATGTTATAAACGGCTTCGACATCACTTACTACATAGGCCGGGCACACTTGAGCTCAATTTGGCTGTTTGTACGTCCGTAGTGTAAGCAAATCACTGCACGCTAGTCGAAGCGACGACCTCATTCGGAAACAACGCAAATACAATGTTATTATAATATCAACAACAGAGAGCAACTTCTGTAAAGTTGAAGAAGAAACTCCCAACTCAAGCTTCGTTGAGTGTGAGTGAGTCAGACAGACTACGGTGTATCAAACTTTCTTCGTGTTCTCAAGACAAGATGGGCGACGTTGACTTCTGGTGAAGAGCCTGGTATCGTCTGCGAGCGAAGTCACCCTCCGTCATCTTTGTTATCTGACCTCCCGCCGCGAGGAGTCGCAGGGAGCCGGGATCTCCGTGAACAGATACCCTTGTGGACCGCGCCGGGACGCACAGCTAGAAGTATCCAGGTCTGTTCTGCCCGGAACTACTTCACAGGCCCAGAAGGGATATTTTGTCGGCTATTGTGACAATATTGGTGTATGGAGAGGAAGGACATTTGAGAAACACTTCATCAGGAGGCAACCGCGGAAGCAGGTAAAGTAGCATTTTCTGATTTATGCGAAATGTAGAGTTTGCTGTTGAAGAACCTAGTCTAGGTCTAACCAGTCTCACCTTCCCTTTCTGACCCTTAAGTAGCATGATAAAGTTGTAAAGTTAAGAAAACCTTCCAGTGAAGCTGGCTGTCTGTTTGATAGAAAAGACAAAAAGTTACAAAATAAAATAAACTATTTCGCTCAGTGAATATTAACGGAATACTTAAACATTTTACTTTACTATAAATTACTAGATCTAGATATATTTTTTGTTTGTTTTTGTTTTTTTATTTTTATAATAGTTTTTTTTTCTTCCCCTCTTTCTGTTTTCTTTTAATAAAATCCAAAAATAAAGAAATTCTAGTAATCCACAGCACTTTTTGTTATGTTGATTTGTTTGGTGTTTTCCTATTGACAGAAATTCAGTTATATTCCTACTTCTACTGAAAGACACTAAAACAATATCGGACCTGATTTGTTTATTTCTAGACCAAAGAAATCACATTTTTGTACACAAACAAACTAAAAAAAGACACACAAAAAACCAAAAACAAATACATTTTAAAACAAAACAAAAGCAAAAGCAAAAAAAAAAAATATGCCCAAACAAAACAACAACAATAACAACAAAGACATAAAAAGCAAACACACAAACAAAAGCTGATTATCCATTCAATAAAGTACAAGGTTGCAACAGAGCAGTTGAGATTTTTTTTACACAAGTACCAAAGACAAAGGAACAAAGAAAATGTTGCAAACTGTCATTAACATCTTTAGATTGACCCCGTCTTTAATGGTCGTTTCTGTTTGTTTGCCTTTCGTTCTTTGTCTCTGTCGAGGACATTTGAGGCAAAAGAATACAAATTGCTTTTAAAAGACAAACCAAAAACTGCCTGATATATTAATGTTCTTCCCCCCCCTCCCTTAGTCCGCCATCCCTACCCTAAGATAAAAGACCCCCC